TGCTGGTTCTGCACCCAGACACCTCGGTGGCCAGCCGCTGCCCAGGTTCGGGTCTGCACCACTCTCCCTGGAACTCTAAATCACCGTGGTGTCCACCTTCACCCTCCAACGTCTGTATGGCAGGTGCAGCCCTCAGGGGTGCCCCACCCCCGACAGGAGTGAGACCAGGACTCGTCCCCTAGTGGGGTGTTCGGGCCAATGCCTGAGCCACCTCCTGTCATCTTTGTCTCTTGGCCACATCGGCCTTACTGCTGTGAGTGGGTTGACATTCTTGAGCTATTAACCACTGTGGGTTTCCCCCCGACTTCCTGCCGCAAGCCTTCCCGGATCTGGCCACAGCTGGGGTGAGTGTTCAAGCTCCTGGCCTGAGGAAGCTGGCGAGCGGTTCACAGAGAATGAAGAGCTGAAGCCGGGCCGCTTCACACCCCCAGGCTCTGGCAGGGACACATGGGTGGGAGGTGTGTGCCCGCAGCCCTCCAAGCCTGCTCCACAAAGGTGCTGATAGGGGGAGGGCCAGCCCCGCCCCGCCCGCAGCCGAGCCCCCAGTGACAGTGGGGTGGGGATGATGGAACCCAAGAATTCAGGGGCGACTAAGGACAGACGAGGGGACTGGCCTTCCCTCCAGGCCTGAGGCAACCTCGCGAACATCTCTGCGTCTCAGAGTGTGAGCGAACACGGGTCCCCATGGGCCCGAGGGTGGCACAGCACTGGGAAGACCCACAAGACCTTGCTTTCCAGCACACACACATGGTCATTCCCGGCCTGGACTCACAGAAGTGACAGGGGCCATCTCAGCAGATGTCCTTGTGGACATGGTGACTCAGAGGGGAGGGTCAGGGACCCCAGCTGCACGCTGATCTCACAACCTGGCCCTGGGACAGAGCCGGGAATAGAGCGTAGCCCCAGAAGGACTGACAATAAGTGGCAGTTAGGGACAACCCAGGGGCGGTGGGCTTGGCCCAAGAGCCAAGGGCAGCTCTTGGCATGTGGCGAGAGCCGATAAATGTCTGCAGAACTGGAAACCCCACTCGTGCACACAGAAGGATGGGCTGACTCTATCTGACACATCAAGAAGCCCGGTAACTGGGCCGGCCGAGTGGCGCGATGGTTAAGAACTGGCTTGGGA